TTTATTAAAACACAATGTTTCCTAAAAGTTCTCAACACAAGGAAAAAAACAATTTTCTTCTTCTTCTACCCCCGTTCTTTTTGTATCTGTATGAGATGATGAATGTTAATTAAACTTATTGTGACAATCATTTGGCAATATAGGTAAGTCATGTCATTATGCTGTACACTTTAAACTTATACAGTGCTGTATCTCAATTATATCTCAATACAACTGGAAAAAAAACCCCACAATTTTTCACAGACTGTAGTACAAATATTAATTTTCTAAAAGAAAATAACTTATTAAATATTCTCCTGGATAGTAAATCTTTTAAAAAAATTGTCTCTCATTTTTTATCTGTATACCCACTGATAAAATATTCTAAGTGCATAAATACAATCATAATTACACACACACATAGATACCTATGTATACCCATGTGTGTATATATTTATAGTTTCTTTTTTGGAGGGGTCTTGGCTACCTCTTCTCTCTCTTTTCTGCTGTTCTTGAACATACCTCCCCACCTCACCCCCCCAGTCTGGCCACAAAACAACCAACATTAATAGCCTAGTATGTAGCCCTCCATACATACACATGCATATGCAGGTTTCTTGGTTAATGCTTTACAAAAATGAGATTTTGTATTTCTCAGTCAATAGTACCTCACGCAAATTCTTCTAAGTGAACTTGTATAGTTATACCTTATTTTTTTTAATGGTTTCATCATATTACATATGTGGGTGTTCATAATATATTGTCACTTCTTATTAGGTATTCACTTTGTTTCTGGTTTTTGCCACAAAATACATTGTAGCAATACAAATGATTATGTGTAACTCTATGCATATTAGTGCTTTTTATTTCTATTGGAGTGGTTTCTGGGGCAAATAAATATGATTCAGCCAGCATCCTGATTCTGCATCTTCCTGGTCATAACAAGGACAGAAGCTCCCATGGCAGTCCAATAATCTATGGCATGGTTTTAGGAATTGGACCTAGAATTTCAGCCTAATGTTTATCCCCTGAGCCCTACCAATGTGTTTCTGAGCAAAGTATATATGCTTTAATAAATCCTTTTCTATTTGAACCACCTAGAGAGAATTATATTGTCTACAACTAAAAATCCTAGCTGATCTAATGTATTTTAAATTTTAATAAAGGACAGTAAAAATATTTTGAATAAAATACTGCTCATATTCAAGATGATGACACTCTCCTGTCCTTGGTAGAGAGATGGCTTTGGGTTCCTCTTCTAGAAAAGATAAAAGATTAGTACAAATCTACTAATTTGTTTAGCAGGAATTAACATTGCATGTCTTACATTTCAACTGGAAAGGTCTGCTTATCTTTCATAAGTGCTACTGGGCAGTAGATGGCCCAACTCCACGGGGCTTCCTCTTCCTTTATAAGTGTGAGAACTCTCAGAGAGAAATGCCAGACCCTCCTCATTCCTCCTCTCTTTTGCAGCCAAGTACATTGATCTCCACTTATGGTTGGTTGCTTTTTGGTACAAATGGAAGGAGAAGAGAGAAGGAGTCATTGTTTTCTAAAACCACTCATATGGCTGATCTTATTCAATAGCCACCAGTAAGATTTATTTGAATACTTTCATCCACCACACTCCACCCCCCGTTTTCTTTTTTGTATTCTTCTTGAAACTTTCACACTTAAAAATAATCATTTGAGGATGGGAATAAAAACCAAGTCAAATAATGCATCTATTTAAATCATTTATTTCAACACAGGCATTGTTTCAAATTTGTACCTTGTCTTGTAACACATTTCATATCTAGGGAACAGGTTTGAGAACAAGTACATAAAAGGATTATTTGACAACATTTTAAACGAAAGTGCTTAAGGCTTATTACATGTTTCAGAAACACAGAAGTGCCAGTCACAAAGAGACTCAAAGTAAAATATTTACATATCTACACTGTACATTTAAATGGGTTATTCTGAAGCATTATTACTATTATTAACAATAAACTCTTAGCAAAAAGGCCTCTTTAACCCTCTGGTATTCAATGGAGTATATTACTTTTATGGACATGTGGATATTCCAGTTTGACACCTAGCTTTACCATAACGTAAGTGGACTTTCTTTCACCACCTCAAGTACAGGCACACATGTACCTCCTACACAAAGCAGATTTTATTAGCCTATCATCAGCCAAAACCTTGTTAGCAGCAGTTGGAGTTTTATTAACAGCGATGTATTTACAATATAAGGGAGTAAATTATTTAGAGGGAAGTCTCTAAAAATTAAAATAATCTCATTAAGCCCTATTTTATTTTATTATTTTATTTTTAATTTTATTTATTTATTTATTTTTGCGTTACGCGGGCCTCTCACCGTTGTGGCCTCTCCCGTTGCGGAGCACAGGCTCGGGACGCGCAGACTCAGCGGCCATGGCTCACGGGCCCAGCCGCTCCGCGGCATGTGGGATCCTCCCAGACCGGGGCACGAACCCACTTCCCCTGCATCGGCAGGCGGACTCTCAACCACTGCGCCACCAGGGAAGCCCCTAAACCCTATTTTAAATGGACTTTACATGTAAAATTTATGGCTATAGAAGTCTATTATTTAAACAAGTTAATAATTTACCAGGTACTTATTAATATTGATTTCTTCATTATTTACTCCATTTATGTGACTATTTACTTTAATGATGATTATATATTTTAGAAAACGAGTTATGAATATAAAAATGACTACTATAAATTATTATAGCTATACCAAAAATGAATATTAAAAAGCAGCAGTTTGTATGTTAAAATACATAGACATTTGCTATACTTCTTTAATGAAGTGTTTTACAAAGGTATAAAATTATAGAAGGTGCTATTTTCATGAATTTTCTGTTTGCTTGACTTTTGAGCCAGACCAACAAGCAAATATTACAAATAGTGCAATGAGCATTGGCCATCAATGACCTTTGAATTCAGATGGTAGATTCTAGTACAGAGAAGCAGGGTCCCAAAGTAGTTGTTTAGCCTGACTTTAATTTACCTAATTGTTGATATAGGCTAAATTCAGTGAAAAATAAGCTAACTTCATCTCACCTTTTGTAACATACATGTAGACTCAGAATATTTACTGAAATAGATTGGTAAATGATCATTTAAAAAACCAAGAATCTTAATATTAAAATATTAACTTCGAATATTTTAAAATTAAATAGAAAACATAGGTCATGGTTTATGAATTTTATTTAAATTATCAGATAAATAGAAAAAGGAAGGTAGAATTTACATACATGAAACAAAGAATAAACTGTTATTTATTCTTCACCATACAAATTTAAATGGAAACGTTTAGAACAGTTGATTTAGAATTCTACTGTCAGTCTCTTTGAGGTCAGGATTGGCCAGAGCTTGAAGTTTAAGACAATTTATAGATTGAAGAAATAGCTTTCATGTAATTACCTCATTTTCCTTAGTTTTGAGTTTCATGGGAACAATGCAAACTAGCTCTGGCATTTTGCTTCTAGGCAAGGCAATGGTTAGGAGGATAATAATAATATAGTCCTTTCTTGCATTTCTATCAGTTCCAAATTTCTGCATACTTCCCCAACACCTATCATTATCCTTAATTTATATGGATGAAACAAACTAGGTGAGAAAAATGGAAACTAAAATGAGGCCAGGAAGCAAATATAAACCAAACAAGATGAAATCCATTCATGCTGACCCTCACAGTACTAAGATCCAGGATGGCATGATTTCTGTAGTTCTAGCAGATTAGCTTCACTGCCACCTGTTTATTGGTCTTTATGCTGATTAGGAGGAGAGAAAACCCCAAAAATTCCGCATGGCAAATAAAGAGTTAGGAAAGCCAAGTTATCAGTGGGTGTGACAAGTTATTTAGTCTAGATAAATTATTGAAGGAATCATAGTGACGAGCCCTTAGAAGTTCTGCCTTCTAATTTCCAAGGGTCTGGTAAATGATCTGGCAAAGAAGCCTGTGAACCCCAAGGTGTCAGATCTGACTTGGTAGTACTTTAGGGACTTGACCAAGGCTACCATTTGCAACTAAAATGTCTCACATGGAAAAAAGTGTTCTATCCTGCAAATAAAGAAAAAATTTAAATGGATGGTTCTGGAGAAATGGAAGAAAAAAGGAACAGTTGCAGAGAGAGCTGCAGTAAGGATGTCAGTCTCATGAAGGGATGTCTGCTTATCTCTACCCCTCAGTTATGTTCCCTTCCTAAGCAGAAATTCTGTGGCAAAGCCACCTTCTGTACCATCCTAGAAACTATTTCAAAGGAATTCCTAGAAGTACTAATGTTCTTTGGCTTACTAGGGATTTACCTCTTCACCTACTATCTCAAGCACTTCAAATATGTGTTTTCCTGGCTCCACTATGGATAAAACAGGATGTCCTTATAGATATGGCCTTATCTTTGCTCAAAAGAAAAAAACCCCAAAAAACCCAAACTCTAAACCTCCTAAATGTTGATGAGTCAGACAGGATAATAATACTTACTCCATTGTTATCACCCTACATTTTATTAAATGCCATGAATATAAGGTATGGAAGAGGCAAGACAGAGTTTTGCTGTTGTGCTGGGATATTAAAGTTGTAAATCACCATGAAAGGTATAAGAAAGTTAGGGGGAAAATAGAGCAGAAAACCAAAACTGGACAGTGAATTAGAGATTAAGTTTGGGCTGAGTGGCAGAAGGCCAAGGATATATACAGGGGAAGAAAACAGCAGAGAATCCCTCTAAACAAGAATTCATTGCTCTAGAATTCAGGAAGTCTATATATAGGGTGTGGAGGGGGAAAAAAAGAGAATTTGGATTGTTTCAGAGCAGGAACTGCCCAGACTAGATATTTTTTTTTCCTAATGTCTGTCCTTTCCGTAGACATACATATTTGCACTTTACTTACATTACAAACTTTTTTTTTTTTTTTTGCAGTTCGCGGGCCTCTCACTGTTGTGGCCTCTCCCGTTGCGGAGCACAGGCTCTGGACGCGCAGGCTCAGCGGCCATGGCTCAGAGGCCCAGCCACTCCGCGGCATGTGGGATCTTCCCGGACCGGGGCACGAACCCGTGTCCCCTGCATTGGCAGGCGGACTCTCAACCACTGCGCCACCAGGGAAGCCCTACATTACAAACTTTTGGTGAAAAGGTTATACATTTTATAGAAAAAGCTTCACAGTTCTGACTCTTTGTCATTTTCATCCAGGTAGTATTCGTCATCCGTGGTTGTGTCTGTGTCACAATCTGAGTCTACTGGATCATCTTCATAGATATTAAGTGGTGCACTTAGAGATAAGCCATCTTTTGGCATCTGATTACTAGGAGAATTAGAACTTGATGACTCTGTTGGGTTAGGAGGGTTAACTACATTATCTTTCAGGAAGCCAGGGTTCTTAAGAAAACTTGGTTTCCATAATCTTCCTTGTGTGAGTGACCTCTTTACATTCTCCAAGAAAGCCAGTTGTTGTTCTTTCCCAAATATCCCATAGTCAATAGGTCTGGATATAGATGTTGCAGACCTAGGACCCATTTTTGGCCCGCTGTTGTACAAAGCCCAGCTTTCATTTTCATCACAGGAGGGTAGTTCAGAAAAAGATTTGAATCTTCGACTGTACCCAGTGTTGTTAGAGAATTCATTCCCAAGGGTCAGTTGACTCAGGGCATTGTCAATAGAAGTACTTTCAGAAAAATGACGCTCTCTGAATTTTGGAGGATGACTTTTTCGTAGTAGAGCACCGTGCACATTGATGCTTTTTAAACTCTTTGAATGATAGGGGTGTGGCTCAGGTTCCCACTCCAGAGATGAAGCACTCCTTTGTTGTTGCTGAAAACTGGCCAGTGGCATGCTTACTGTAGATTTCTCTGCAGGTTCCAATTGAAAAGGAGGGTTCAGCCCCCTCTGATGGTCAGGGAAATCTGCTTCCCTGAGGCTGATCAATGAGGGTTGGGCCAGGGCTTCTGACTCTCCTTCCAAAATCTGAGCTACTGTTACATCCTTAGAATTCTCATACTTTAGTTGTGATTCTGAGATTTTTTTAAACTCATTTTGATGTGGCTGTGAAATATTGTTAGACTTCTGATTGCTTAAGTGTGTAGAAGTTTCTCTGTTGGTTATTGCAGTAACCTGGAGAGGGTCCTCGGATTTCTCCACATTTACTCCATCATTACTTAACCTGCTTTCATCTGTGGATTCTGTGGACTTTAACGTAGGCACAGGGGAGTGTGGGTTGCACTCTGGTGTGCCAGGGGATAAGGTGCTAAAGCCAGAATTGTTCCCACTTTGAGGAAAGATAGTAGTTACATGTCTTCTGGGGTATAAATCTTCAGCTGGAAATTTTCTGCTTGCTTTGGACATAACTGCCAATCTGTGTTTAACTGAAGATCTGTTTTCCCCTTTTTCTAGGTCATCCAAGCTTTTTTTACTTTTATTACTTCCTTCAAGAAGTGAAGGTTGATTCCATGCCAACTCCTGCATTTCATCTTTAGCCTTGCTCTCTGTCATATTTACCTCCTGACTTCTTTGAGGTAGTTCTCTGGGTTCAGACTGTAAACTGTCTAAATCTTGTTCACTTGAACAAGTCTTCTCATCAAGCTGTAGTTTATGCAAGGCTGGAGTAAGAGCAAAGACTTGGCTTTCTGAGTCAGAAAGTGGTTTATCAGGGTTTTTTGGGAAATCTTTTCTAATTCCCCCTCTTACTTCCCCAGGCTGCAATCCATTGGAGCTATCATCTATAGCTATACCTGTTATATCTTTCTGAAGACTTCCAGTAGCTGTAATGGTTATAGCACTACTTGTACACTCCCCAGAACTTCTAATAATTTGTGAATTTTCAACATTCTCTTCTGAATGGGCTGGGAGGTTAGAAAAATCACTGTTACCTGATTTAATGTATTGCTGACAATTTTCAGATTTCTCTCTTGTAACTTTTTTTCTCTGAAGCATTAGTGAAGTATACAGGGTTTCACTTCGCAATTTTCCCCCTTTCTCTTTCTTGCTTTGTGAATCACATAAAGGTGTTTTAGCTAAGTTGTGTGGGGAAACCTCTCTAGATTTAGGTTCTCCTTTATGAAGAGAAACATCTGCTTCAATAGAAGCAATTTCCTGTAATGTAGGCTCTGAGGACCTAAAACTTGGTAATTGTAAACCAGTCATATTTTCAGTGGTGTGAGAAAGATGGCTGTTCTCCTGAGCAGAGCTGACCTGCATCTTTAGATCTTTAGATGAAGGTGTTCCTGACTGCTCGTGTGTAGAACAATTTAGTTTGTCTTTTTCTAAAGCATTAGGAGATATTTCAGTCCCCACTTTAGTTGATTCTGTAAGTGAATCGATATTTTGTGTATACTTTTGAAGAAGGTTACAGAACTTTTTTCTGTGTTTCCTTGGTAGAGTATAGTATATTGAAATCACCTCAAGACATTTCACATTATCTTCATCACCAGAAACAGAAAACATGCTAGTGGTCTTAAATTTATGTAATGTTTTCTCACTTTCTTTGCCTGACAAATCTGCAGAAAAAGGTAAAGGGTGTTCATTTGGATGGGAAAATATACCTGTCCTGGAGGCAGAAATTCTACCATTCTTTTCAGTGCATTCCTGAAAGTATTCCTTCTGGTGGTGTCTTTTGCTTAAAGAACACTCCCGAACAGATGAGTCACTTCCCAGAGGGTTAATGAGTCTCTCCCAAGGCTTTAGTGTTATAATAGAAGCATCTGTATCTGAGACTAAACCTTCTTCTCTTTCATCTCTTCCAGTTGAGGCATATGGCACCCCTGAGGGACATGACACAGCCCTCTTGATGAGGACTTGAAGTGGTCCTTTTCTAACAGAAGCAGATCCAATGTTTGTCATATTTGTCATCTCCTCTGTGGCTTCAGGTGGTATTGAGACTGAGTCTGAAACTACTCCAGAATATTTGCTCTCTGACTCACAAGAACTGGGACTGAATTTGTTTGATGTGTACTTCCCTACTGGATCTTCCACATCATTTTTGATTTGGAATGCAAGTTGCTCATTCCTAAACGAAGAAGGCATTATCTTACTTTCAGACTTCCTGTTATTGATGAGAAAACTGGCTGATTTTCTTGGTAAGGTACAATAAATTGTGTGAAGCTCAGGAGGCTTGGAATTGCTTTCAGTTCCCTCAATGAGGTTACTGCTGTCACTTGTGGGTATTGATCTACTTTCCGTTTTGCTTAATTTTTCGGTATAGGATATACGTCGTCTTATTTTTCCTTTTCCCTTTCCATCCCTGAAAGGAGGATGTGAATGGCATTTGACAACATCAACCACTTCATTATGTACAGGCATACAATTAACATTACTCTTTTGGTTTTCTGAGAGGCTTAGGGAAAATTGACTATTTTGGTTCTTGCAATCATTGTCTTTTTCTTCTCTTTCTCCCAGAGACAGATCTTTGCTTGAAGGACATTTCCAGGAGAACCCTGCAGTAGAAGGAATCACCAGAGCATCAAGGCAAGAATCATTTGATGGTAAGGAATCTGGTAGTGTACCTGATGACAGATCTAAAGAATCACATGGCACATTGTGGTTGGCAGGTGACTTGCTGCAGTTGGTAGAATAAGTTGTGGTACATTGTTCTTCCTTGGTATCTAAAACAGCAGGCTTTTCTGAAGACTGTGCATTTTGATTATCAGTACGTTCAGGACTCCCGTGGTTATTTTTAATAATGTTTGAAATATCTTTATTTCTTACTGTTAATTCCTGGTGAAAACCTTGATTTGGGCTGAGAGAAGGTGATGTTGTTTTGCTTTCCTGAATGAAAGGAAGGGAAGTTGCTGAGCCAAGTTTTCTGTTCCCAGTATAACTCTTATCTTTTTTTAGTTCATTGGCTTTATGAATTTTGGAGATATCTCTCCTGGAAATCTCTCCAGGTAAACTTTTTGAACTTATTGTCGTAGATGCATTAAAAACAAATCTGTTGCTCTTGGCTGAGTCCTGAGAGAGGAGATTTTGAAAATCAGGTAAAGGGTTAGAAATTACTGTCTGTGAAACAAGTTGGGGTATTTCACCTGTCATGGTTGTCTGGTCTATCTTGTTTAGTTGTTTGTCTTTTTCCAAAACAGATCCATTCAAGTCTTTCTCATTATTCACTTCCGTGACCAAGATATTGGGTTGGCTTTCAGTCAGAGGTGGAGAATCAACTGAATCACTGTTGGTCCCAGTGACTTCTGTATAGTTTCTGATTGGAAGAGAAGCAGGCTTAATTTTCTGCAAAGTGACTGTGGGATTCTGAAAGTTGGGACTCTGAGGATTCCCTCTGTCATCAGGAATCTGTGGGAAGGTAGTTTTGAATGAGGATGCTAGAGTTTGAGCAATTTCAAATGAGTAAGGTTCTTTGTTTATATGTAGTTCCATAGGAGAACTGTCCTGTTGACATTCTAACCCATCAGATTTGATGTGATAGCTTGAACCAGGCATGGGGCAAACATTTGGTGCACTAAAATAAGTAGACTGGTTCCTTTTAACTTGTGACACCTCCATGCTCTCCAGTGTGGATGCCTGAGAATCAAACTGTGAGGGATGTGGCTTCTCTTGGTTTCTGGAAATATTTGTCCTGTACCTAGGAGAAAATGACCCCCAGTGTTGAGAAGGAACACTATGACAATGACCAGCTAAAAATGCACTATTTGCTTCAATGGAGATCATTTCAAAGTCTCTGTCAGAAGAAGTGAATGGTTTCCTGCTTTGATGAAAGTCAGACCAGGAAGAATGTTTTTCCTGTTGGCCCCCAAAAGGACTTGGTCTAAATCTCTGTTCCCTGCTCCATCCAAAGGTATTGCTAAGGAAAGACCCAGTAAATGGGTTATCTTCATGGTAGAACAGCATATTCTCTGAGTTCTCAAATGGGTCAGCACTCATTGCATTATTCATGGGGGCATTTAAACCAACACTTCGGTGAACACTCTGTGGATGGTAAAATTCATATCTCCTATCCTCCTGAAAACACCTGGGATACATATACTGGTCAGCAAGGTCAATTTCCATTGGTGATGGTGCCCTCAGGAACTCTTCCTGGTTCTGCCTATCACTAGAGGAATCTGATCTATTCCATATGATAGATGATAAAGGAGTTCTCTTTGGGCTCTGTTGGTGGCTTGGTGGTATAAACCCAGTCTTGATCTGAGTTGTGGCTGAAAAAGGTAAGCTTCTTGCTGTGAAATACCCTGTAGCTGGTGAGGCTGATTGTTGTCTGCTGTCAAAATACAGAGAAATACTACCAAAAATATTCTTTTGCACATAATCTTCTTTTAAGACTCTGGGTTCCCTTGTCTTGTACATATCACAGATTGTCCTTGTTCTAGGAGAAAAGGTTTTAAAACCTTCCTTAGAGGTTCCTGGTCTTAGGATGTCATAGATAGACATATTAGAAGTTTCATTACAGCAATTTTTGTGCCTTGCTGTGATATTACGGTGTTTATTCCCACTGGAGTAAAAACGACTGAACTGTGTTCTTGATCCATAGTTGAGAGGTGTTCTGGCATCCAATGAGCTTGGAGACTGTTCCTGAGCCAGTTTTCCATCCAAATCATCTAAAACTAAAAGGAGAATATACGTCATTTTTTTGCATAAGATTTTACAGTCTAATAATATTTTGAGTTGTTGAAGGCTCCGCTTGAAGAAACATAATCCCTTATAATTTTTAGATCATATCACCATAAATGTTATGACATTAACTTTGATTATGTCTTTAAGATAGTTTGACTTTTACAAGCCTGTAATGGAAGTTTCTTTTTCATTTTCACACTTTTTCAAATCACACATTTTCAAAGTTGACCTTCCAAAATGTCTTAAGAACATAAAAGCACATTTTCCCCCCAACAGTAAATTTTAATCATGGTTTCTAGTGAATCTTTTGTGTCACTAGGTAGCTATAATGTTTCCAATTATGTTTACCTCAGGGGATTGTAAAAGATATGAAAGTCTGTAAATAACATGTGAGTTCTTAGTTGTACTTAGTTGCACATTACTGCCAGAAGTTTAGCATCCAATTTATTAACATACCTATTTGGATGGTAACAGATATATTTTATCATATTCATGTTACAATAAATATGAGTAGATTGTTTATTTTTTTAAGAAATGTTCATTAAAAAAATAAAATCTGACATGAGAAATAAGTTATGGGATTATTTAAATTGCTGAAGAACTTTTTGGTTTACAGAAATCTATCTTTCTGAGTTACATAAAATGGTGCACTTTCTTTGGTTAATTAAAATTATTTTTCATTAAAAATTGTAATTTTAGGGGTTTCCCTGGTGGCACAGTGGTTGAGAGTCCGCCTGCCGATGCAGGGGACACGGGTTCGTGCCCCGGTCCGGGAAGATCCCACATGCCGCGGAGCGGCTAGGCCCGTGAGCCATGGCCGCTGAGCCTGTGCGTCCGGATCCTGTGCTCCGCAACGGGAGAGGCCACATACAGCAAAGAAAAAAAAAAAAAAAAAAAAAATTGTAATTTTAACTCTTCAATGACAGGGAAAGTGAGGTATATCGGTATCTGAGTGAATGTAAGTGAGACGTACTTATAATATACCAATTATGTTAGGACAGGTGCTGAAGGGGTTTTTGATATCTGCTCTGAATTTTCTCTACTCTCTTTTATTTGTAAGTTGGTGCTATTAAGTTCGCATAGCCAGCAAAAGAACTAGTCTTGAGCATGAAAGATCTGTAACTAAGGAATTCTTCAGGGAAAACATTCGTCAATGTTTTAGTGAAAAAAATTATTTTTCTCCTGTCCCTGAAATAATTTATTTCCTACATCCACAAATAAAATAATCAAGCAATGCCAAAATATAAGGCAGGGCAAAAAGAAAAGAAAACTACATAAATCTGTCTTTAAAGCAAATTATAATGAAATCTCTTTGATTTCTGTTTTCCCTTTCAAACTGTTCATAGTTTTTTCTTCCTCCTTAAATAAAGTCTTTTGCTGACTACAAAAGCAATATATGGTAAATACAGGAAAATATAACAAAAGAGGTAAAATCACCTGGAGTCTTTCTTCCCAGAGATAACCACTCTTAACATCAGTATCACGGGACTTTAAATTATTCAAAGTTACTTTGATTCCGAAATTAATACTGCTATTTGACTCACTACTCTTGAGGTCAAAAAAATTCCTGTTCTGCTTCTCCTTTTTATTTTCAGAGAGGTCAAGTCATTTTTTTTTTTTCATTTCATAAAAAGTAGCTCTCCTCTACTAGTAAAACCTTTGTTTCGGAACAGAAGTTTTCCTCTGGGTCTCTTTTCTCTGAAGCAAGTTCTCTGCCAGTAACCATCTTACTGAAAGGAGTTAACCAACCAGCTGGATGTCTCTCAATGATCACACCACCTGTCCTAACTATAGGGCTGAGGTGACATCATTGCCCTTGGAAATTGAATTTAGTTCCTCAAGGTGAAGCTAGTGAATGATTTCAGACTTCACTTTTCAAATGGCTAGGCTTATTTTATATAGAATAAACTATGTCAAGGTGAGCTATGCTTGTATAATAAGGTCCATGTGTATATAGTACTTTTGGAACCTGTTTTAGTCTTTATTGTTATCTATTGTACAAGGTTAATTGTTTAACAACGATCAGATTTCATCACAGTGCATTTAGGTCCTAATCAGGAACAATAAAAGTCTATTAAGGACAGTAAACTTTATAGATATATTTCCTAAAGACATATCTTTTCCTTTTTACCTGGGTTTAAATATTAAACATTATTACCATTCCATAGATTTATCAGGCCTTGATCCAAGAATATTTGCTTAGATTATATTTAAATATAAGATTCTTTAGGGACTTCCCTGGTGGCGCAGTGGTTACGAATCCACCCGCCAATGCAGGGGACATGGGTTCGAGCTCTGGTCTGAGAAGATCCCACATGCCGTGGAGCAACTAAGTCTGTGCGCTACAACTACTGAGCCTGTGTTCTAGAGCCCGCGAACCACAACTACTGAGCCCATGTGCTACAACTACTGAAGCCCGCACGCCTAAGAGCCCATTCTCCGCAACAAGAGAAGCCACCGCGATGAGAAGCCCGCGCACCGCAACGAAGAGTAGCCCCCGCTCACCACAACTAGAGAAAGCCTGCACAGAGCAACAAAGACCCAACACAGCAAAAAATAAATAAATTAATAAATTAATTTAAGAAAATGATTCTTTAATATTTGTGTTAATAGCATGTAACCATATCTTCTTCAGGTAAGGTAAACAAGAGGGACTTCAGAAATGAGGTACAGGGTTTGATACATTTTGAGCACTTTAATACAGACTGTAATTATTATTTGCTTTCCTTTAGTACTGGGAATTCCAAAGCAATTCAATGCATAGACTTACCTTGGAAAAACTCATCCTCTAGCAGTGAAGCATCCCACGGAGGCATGCTACTTCCCTCCCTCATGCCTGCTGGCTTGGGGACAAATGCACTGCCAATGGGTTGATTTTCCAGAGGTGAATTGTATATTTTTGCCTGCTAATTTTAAAATAGAAAATGTAATATTATTTCTGGACTTCCCCAGCCAACATGTTCCCACGAAAATGTCCCAAGCTTAAAAGTCCTAGTCTAGGGCTTCCCTGGTGGCGCAGTGGTTGAGAGTCCACCTGCCGATGCAGGGGACACGGGTTCGTGCCCCGGCCCGGGAGGATCCCACGTGCCGCGGAGCGGCTGGGCCCGTGAGCCGTGGCCGCTGAGCCTGCGCATCCGAAGCCTGTGCTCCGCAGCAGGAGATGCCACAGCAGTGAGAGGCCCGCGTGCCGCAAAAAAAAAAAAAAAAAAGTCCTAGTCTAAGGACAGCAAATAAATTTTCCTAACATTTATTTCTCTAGTTGTAATGTTTTGTTGCTTTTGCAATTTGCAACTGATCACAAACTTCTCCATACCTACATTAATTCCTTTCAGTATGAGCCTCTCCCTGCAAAAGATTCCTACAAATTTACATAGCACTACAAAAATCTTAAGGAGGTTCCTGGAAAATAGGAAAGAAATTGACCTCTCTTGAGTGGGGAATGTTGTCTCTCTGGCCCCAGTGGCTGTAATTTTAGATTTCTTAACACTGTACCTATTTTCTCTCAAGAGGCGGTTAGCTGAAACTTGCGGTGGATCTTAAGATTTGTAAACTTGATGGATTTAGGAAAAAAAAGTATTTCTATCCACGGAAATCATGTAGCATGGTAGAACCTCCCAGATACACATAAGGAACTGATTAATCATTCTGAAAAAAAGGCGCTGAAAAGCATGACCTTCTAATTTTTTTTTAAACCTTTGCTAGTTTTATAGGATTTAGGAGAATGATGTAGAGTTCTTTACTAGCAAATTATATCTTGATTTCATTAAATCCATCACTGCTCTACTTTTAAGTTTTAATTTGTCTTTATAACCTTGGGGAATTATCCACTCCCACACCTCCACTTCCTTTTGCCAAAACTCCATTTGCATTTCCTCTGGCAAACTGGGTCTGCCACTCATGACTCCACTTTAACTCATCCTGCCTGCATCCCTGCACAAGGCCTCTTCCCATTCCAATTGCTTTATTTTCAGTTCACTTTCTACCCAGTCCTTGCCGTTTGAATCCTTCTCTTCCCCAATTTTTCTCTTTTATTTGATGTTCACTATCACATTTAATCTCATCTTGAATGCTTAAGGCCAAATCTCTAATATTTCTAAAGCTCCAGCTTTTTAATTTCCTCAACACAGGTGTGTCCAATTCTAAAGCCTAGGTTCTCTTAATCCTTGCATTCGTCATAATCTAGTATTTTTATACCTGTTTGTTTTCTTTCTCAAGATCTAGGTCAGTTATTTCTTACAGAAGCCCTGCCCAAATTTTATTGACTTGTCATTTTCAGTTCTATGGGTAAGCTGTAATTGAATACATACAGAGGAGATTTAGTAATAAGAAAAATAATCCAATGATAATTTATTGGTTATTGGATATAATTTAACATACTTATGTTAAATTCAGAAGTAAACAAATATTAGAAGCACGATATAACTATAGGGATATACCAATTGGAGGTAATAAAACTAGAAACTAATCATTTGAAAAATCAGATCAGTTACAGTTACACTTTTCTCTCTACAGTGCATCGAGGTGTTCTCTTTTGTGTCCTACCTACTGTCTCTCCAAGTCTTTATTTGTGCTAATAACAATTAGCCATGAACCTTATAAGCCCATTCTTCCCAAACCTGCAGTTTTGGTAGTTGGTGCAGAGTAGATACATTTAAGAGAATAGTAAGCATCATTGTCTCCCAACCATTTTAACATTCAAATAAACTTCAGATTTCCTCTATGTAGACCAGAGTACATTCTTTTTGGCCTCCTGGATCACATTCCTTTATAATGAATTTATAATGAAATGCAAAGTACATGAACTGAACACTCAGGTGAAGAGAAGAACCTCTCTAGGCGGGAAGGGTTTCTACTAAGAGACCGTGAATATAACATCCTTTGGTTATATTTCTGCACAGATCTTCTGCTTCAAGGCCACCCCTATTCACCTAACATATTAAGGATGTTTCCAACACATGGAGATATTATATGGCTAAGAGAGGTAAATCCTTCTGCGGCTCAGAGCACACACAGATCCTCAGTCAGGGGTCAATCTTGGACTCCGAATCTTCCTCCAAAGAATATTCTGTGCCATAACGTCATCATAACAGATGAAGCCTATTTCCCATACCTGGCCTAGAGGATGAGGCCCAAACACCTCCGTGCAGCAAAATAGTGTCAAAATCCTTTTCCAATTTTTGATTTAAGCCTTTCTTCCCCAACTAGCTTTAATCCCCATGCTCCAAGCTCCCTACACACAGTCCTTTAAAATGCTGTGCACTTCTGAGGACTCTGTGTCTCTGCTCCTGATCTTTGCCCTTTCTCCTCTTCTTCTGGAAAATGTCAGCTCATCCTTCGGAGTCCAGTTCCTATATCAACCTCTCTGTTAGTCCTTCTCCAATTCTTGCAGGAATAATTAATTACCACAGTATTTTTTATGCACCTCTGGTATTATACATTTTATTTCATATCAAAGTTGTTTACATTCTCTCCACTTTTACTTTATCACTCGACTTCTACACTTCCTCCCCTACCCTCTCACACATTCTAATCCCCACTCTGATCTAGGAAACCAGGGATTCACAGACACATGAATAAAACCCTGGAAGTGGACCAAATTCTAAAATAACTAAGAAAGCAAAGTATTCTACTTTGTATCCTGAGCACCTTGCATAGCATCAGCATATAAGAGATTGACTCATATTTACTGAACTGAATTCAAAGACGATGCTTCCCACAATAATATTTCCCACTTCTGAACTTCTCCAATACATTTTTGTACACTCTTTTGATACTATTTTATATTTGAACAAAATTACTCATTTATTCAGTTTTCAATATACTTTAAAAATATCTTCTCTCATTTGATCCTTAGAACAAACTTGTGAAATAGGTAGGGATTTTCATTCCCACTTTGCAGATGAAAAAACTGAGTCTCAGTTAAGTACCTTACTCAAGTCACAGGAATAATAAAAGGTGACACTGGCTACTGACACTCATATGGTCTGATCTCTAATCCTATTTTCTCTACTACATTGCTTTGTATTTTTATTTTACCAATGTACATTTCTTCAATTAGGTGGTAAACTCTCTGAAGACAGGAACCTTGCTTTAAACATTCCATACCCTCCATGCACACAGTTATGGATTGATTTTCAATATACCAAGGTAGAAAATTACATATATAGGATTTTTAGTGAAGATTATTACAGAAATTGAGACACTGAATATTTACAATATTGACTCAATATAGCATGTCTGAGGTAGCAAAGCATAATTGTTAAGCACATGAATACTAAACAAGTCCAAATTCTGGTTCTCTCTCTTAAAAGCTGTACAACTTTGGGCAAGTTGCTTAACGTTTCTGTTCTGTACCTTAGTTTCTTTCTTGGAATAATGAAAAAAAAGACAAAAACGCAACAACAACACTCCTCATCTGATAGTGGTGCTGCGAGGATTAAATGAATTAATAGTTGTAAAACACTTTAGAATGGTGTTTAGCACTTAGTAATTCCTCATCGTTAGCCATTACTAGTCTTCTGTGGTTACAGAGAATTTCCTGGAGAACTCCTGCAGGTACTCGTAGTGTAATGAGTTAGAAAAGTGTCCTACAGGATTAGAGGCCAGAGTCTCAAAATGCTGGCTTTAGGGTCTCAGTTACATTCTTAAACATGGTACACAGAATATGCTGAGCAAAATAAGGCCATTTTTCCAACCCCAATTCACTCTACTGATAACATCTGCAATTCTGACATGATGAGTCAAACAAACCTCTGTCATAGAGTAATCTCAGACTATCTGAGAACTTCTAGGGCAGCCAAACCTGTAGAACAGCTGTTGGAACTGAAGCCGGAGCTCATGGATGTTATCAAATGCCTTGATAAAGTCAACAAGTTAATTTTTCAAGGTGTTCTTGAATTTATTCTGCATCTGTTTTCCTGCAAAGGTCAAATCCAGCATTGCATCTTGTGGCTTAAAACCACACATTCATTTCTTCTTTCAGTTTCTGAGTACTCACGTTGTGCCAGGAAGTGGGGATACACAGGTGAGCAGGTATGGTCCCAGTCTCAGGGAGCTCACACCAGCCTAGTCTGGTTATGCCACATTGGAGGTATGTTTCTAGGGGTACAGAGCTGGCATATCAGCTAAGAACAGACCCAGCCTGAATTTGTTCAGAAATAAGGAGTGACCAAGTGGCCAAGGCCATACAGTTTGTCTATTCTCGGAGATGGCGGCTACTTTGATTTTGGATTCCTCGCCTTTAAGGAGATGGTTCTCAGCTGAGGTCAATTTGCTCCTCATGGAACATTTGGCAATTTCTGGAGATAGTTTTGATTGTCACAGTTTAGTGGAGGAGAAATACTGGCATCTAGTAGGATGCCACTAAACATCCTACAGTTCACAGGAGAGGCCCCACAGCAAAGAATTATTCAGCCCAAGATGTCAGAAGTGCTGAAGTAGAGAGAAACTCTGAGCTAGAAGATCTCTAAGTTTCTCTTGTCAACCTAAATAAAAGGGTAAACTGAGGCAAGATCGAGAGATGAGTTTATTTAGCAATAGCAGAGGACTTGCAATTTGGGACACACAAGCTGTAGCGAGCTGCAGGCAAGTCTGCTGAGGGTTTGAGATAGGCTGTATTTGGGCAGGGAATGTAAAGAGGGGAAAGTTCAATTCGAGTCTGTTAAAACAGACTTATATACACTACCAAATGGAAAATAGATAGCTAGTGGGAAGCAGCCGCATAGCACAGGGAGATCAGCTCGGAGCTTTGCGACCACCTGAGGGGGGGATAGGGAGGGTGGGAGGGAGACGCAACAGGGAGGAGATATGGGGAAATATATATATGTATAGCTGATTCACTTTGTTATAAAGCAGAAACTAACACACCATTGTAAAGCAATTATACTCCAATAAAGATGTTTAAAAAAAACACACAAATGGAGACCAGCTTTGAAAATTTCCTGAGCAGACAAAACCAGTCCAGTCATACAAACAAAGCTCAGTTAGCTTATTTTGTGAGGCCAACCTGACCCGGATCATTTTTGTTCATGCCTCTGGAAACCATAAGCAAAACTTTGCAAGGTTGATAGGAGGCAATCCCTGACCAATTCCCTGTCATTTAAGAAAATTCCAATATTATTATCAGTTTTCTGTAAATCAGGCATTTATGGGAAATCAGTTTCTCGGTCCTTAAGTTTTGTCTTCCTCAGGGAACATGTGTCAGATTTTCCATTTTATGCAATGTATCCTCTGGTTCCATTTTATTTATTATTTTTATTTTTATTTTTTTTGCGGTACACGGGCCTCTCACTGTTGTGGCCTCTCCCGTTGCGGAGCACAGGTTCCGGACGCGCAGGCTCAGCGGCCATGGCTCACGGGCTTAGCCGCTCCGCGGCATGTGGGATCTTCCCAGACCGCGGCACAAACCCGTGTCGCCTGCATTGGCAGGCGGACTCTCAACCACTGTGCCACCAGGGAAGCCCTGCTTCCATTTTAGACTGAAATTCTTTCACACATTCTAGCTCTAAAAATTCTGTTTTCTGAAACCCTTTGCTTCTTTTAAGCTGATGTAAATGTTTATTTATTTATTTATTTTTGGCTGCATTGAGTCTTCGTTGCTGTGCGCGGGCTTCCTCTAGTTGCGGCGAGTGGGGGCTACTCTTCGTTGTGGTGCACGGGTTTCTCATTGTGGTGGCTTCTCTTTGTTGCAGAGCACGGTGCTGTAGGCGCGCGGGCTTTGGTAGTTGTGGCATGCGGGCTCTAGAGCACAGGCTCAATAGTTATGGCGCACGGGCTTAGTTGCTCCGCAGCATGTGGGATCTTCGTGGACCAGGGATCAAATCCATGTCTCCTGCAATGGCAGGCAGATTCCTAACCACTGCGCCACCAGGGAAGTCCCTGATGTATATGTATAAATAGCAGCTTCCTTCTCTCTCTTTTTAAAAAAATATTTATTTATTTATTTGGCTGAGCTGGGTCTTAGTGGCGGTATGTAGGATCTTTTAGTTGTGGCATGCAGGCTCTTAGTTGTGGCATGCAAACTCTTAGTTGCACATGCATATGGGATCTAGTTCCCTGACCAGGGATCAAACCCGGGCCCCCTGCATTGGGAGCACGGGGTCTTAACCACTGGACCCCAAGGAAGTCCCAGCTTCCTTCTCTTTGAATGGAAGGTCATCCAAGAATGTAGTACAACCTCCTACAAAATGTTGGAATCCCCCTTGTACAATTCCTGCTAGGCTACCAACCAAGTGAGAGGAAGTTCATTATCTTAAATCTTGGCAAGAATCCCTGTGGCATCAAAGGCCAAATTCCAGCTCTCTGCAGGTTAAGGGGATAGGACTTTCATGGATAAATAATGGAGATCTACATGTTATACAAAACTCTTGTCTTCAACAATCGTTTCATTATTTTCTCTCTCCTACTTTTTATAATAGTTATTAACTGGGAGCTGCAATCATCGGCTTGAGTTTCATTTATATTCCCAGTTCTTACTTTTTTAGATTGACATGCTCTGAGCAGAAAAATGGTTTAAGGCAAGCAGCAATTAAGAGTGCCAAAGAAGGATATCTACTAATCCTCAGACTGGACTTTCAAATCCCAAGAACTCCAGATTAGCTCTCCTGTTTTATAACTTCTAGGTGCTCGCATTTCTTTTTATGTTCCTCATTTGTTTCAGACCCCATGGCTCTTAAATGGGAAAGGAAGGTTAGCTCTGAGCACTTCTCCGAGGAAAAGCAAGAGTACAGAAGCATCCTGAAGTAGGGCTCTGTCCTTCTAGAGAACAAAGCTGCATGTGTGCCAGTTCAGTCTACTGCTCAGTTAAAGGACAGTCTGCATGTAGCGAGCAACTGGGGCTCATAAACAAACAGGGCTTTGGGGCTGTTGAAGCTGTAGGCATTTTTGACTTCTGGCTACCGAGTTAACAGAGACCCGGGTGTTTCAATCCTGATTATACCATTTTCCAGTGTGACCTTGAGCATGATCTTTAAATTCTCTGAACCTTAGTTTCTTCATCTTTAAATGGGAATAATAATAGTACCTACTTCATAGATTACCTCTGGGGATCAAATGAAGTGACCCATGTCAAGTACCTGAATGATAGCAAGTTCTCCATCAGAATGTAGCTGTTGTTGCTGCTGGCGTCATGGTTGGGGCTCAAGCATATAAAGGAGAGAAAGTAGCATTACTCTGAAGAAGAAAGGAGGCTCACTTTTGTTTGTGAAGTAAAGAACCTCTGTTTATATGCACTCCTCACCAGAATTCTATCTCATGCTTTTTGAAAAAAGAAGAGAAAGGTAGATATTAGTACTAAGGGCCATCAATTGAGAAATGCCTCTACCTTCCTCCTGCACTCTTAGGTACCTTCCAAAACTCCGTCTTTCTTTCATCTCCAAACCATATGAGTTACACACGAAGACACAAGTGTGTGTAGATCAAAAGTCATGACAGCAAAAAAGTAAGAAACAGAAAACTTAAAGCTTCTCAATCTTATAAGCATGTGAACACAGAGATAAATTTAAATTTAAGCCCTTTAAGTGGAGGTCCTGTTGGGTTAGCCCCCTCATGTGAACCTGTTCTGTCCAAATGCATCTCACCTATCAGTGGCTTCCTCTTTGAATACAAATGATGATCTTGCCCAGAATAGGTCTAGCACAGACCCACACTGGTTTGAAGTTTATTTGGAAATTTTCAAAGCTGGTCTCCATTGATTTTGACAGACTCAAACTGAACTCTCCCCTCTTTACATTCCCTGCCCAAATACAGCCTATCCCAAATCCTCAGCAGACTTGCCTGCAGCTTGCTACAGTTTGCATGCCCCAAATTGCGATTCCTCTGCTATCCCCAAATAAATTCTTCCTCTGTCCAACATTTTAGGGCTGTACAGGACTGACACGTGGTAAAATATCAGAGATACTAACGCTAGTCTCTGTGGACATACAATGGCTTCACTCCTCCTGGCAGAGCCTGCTGTTTGAGTATTTTAGTACCACAGCCAACTGGAAACAGATCACAGCTGGGAAACTTTGAACTCTGTAGGAGAAATCTAAGCTTCTCAAGGAAATTTCAAACTGTGCCAATGAGAATTCTATTTAAGTAGGTAGCCAATCAGGAATTACATTAATTCTGAGTTCTTCAGCATAACCTTTAGTTCTTCGGTTACTTACCAAAGCAGTTCCCCTCACAGACACAGGAGGTATGTGGTCGTCACATCTGTGAAAAGAATTTGAAATAACTTCTTTGAAGAAGTGCCTAACTTTTGGAAAATCAATAGCATGTTTGCTATTATATCTTGATATCTTGAGAAGATATATTTCTGATGCTTAGTAGGGAGACATTTCTTAGTGCACTGTTGAAAAATCTTTCAGAAACATTTTCCTATTCTTGCTTAGGATCAATGTTTTACATCTTTGTCACTCAGGTAGCCAAGAAAAATTACATAATAGTGGATTTGTACTTGAACATAGCATGAAGACAATTACAAAAACAGTTATATTTGTTGAGTGTTTACTGTGTATCAGGCAGTATTCTCATGCTCTATAGGCATGTTATCTCATTTAAATACATCACTCTTGTCAGGTGGATACTATGACAACTCTCATTTTACAGATTAGAGAAGTTAGAAGACACTGTACAAGGTACATAGTGGCTGAGTTCAGAGCCGGCCACAGGCTGACTGAATCTAGAGCTCTCATTCTTGATCAGTATGGCACACAGAATTTTCTTGTAAATGGGAAACAGATTTTCTGCTTCTGTACATTTTTATCTTAAAGAGAGAGTAAGTCAGAACCAGACTCAACAATTCTTAAGGGAATTTTTTGAAAAGCAAACCTTATAAAGATGACTTCAGGATGCTTATTTTTATACATATGTCTTATTTATTATGAAATCATCTTGAAGGAGAACAATTATGCTTTTACTATTTATGTTGCTCCTCTAAAATTCAGTAGAAGGTGAAAAATTGTAAAGACATAGGTCCAAAATTGAGATTAATTTTGATTTTTTTAAATCTATAATCCTATGCCAGGGTATGCTGCCTGAATTGCAGCTTAAGAGTTAATAGACCATAGTGACTCAGAGCTCTTGTATGAAATCAAGTCCTCTCCTTCGCTAAGAGAACAGCAAAATGGAATCAAGAATTAAACAAACTGAGACTCTAGGTCAGATCAATTGAAAGTGGCAAGATGCAGTTTTCCTTCATTCAAACTCCTAGTTGCTTCATGGTTCTTGAAAGTTGAGCATAAAACCTGGGAGGCCAAGCAATTTTATATTTAAAAGATACCAACATGTATTTTATAGTTTAGCTCAAAATTTAAACAGAAATTAAAATTAATATGGATTTTTTTCATATTATTTTGAAATACCAGCTCTACACTAATAATATTTAGAAGTTAAAATACTGTTTTTATTCATATGCTTCCTTTTCATACAGCTTTATTGAGCCTGCAAGCCCTCTACATGCTACGCACTATTTTGAGTGCTTTGGAGGAAATAAATATGCCTGAGATAGAGACCCTGTTCTCTGAGATGCTTTATGATAGGAAAGATTAGATACATAAAGAGCCAAAGTGCAAGCCACAATGTGAAAAGGACAATACAGACAATACAGAGGCTTAAGTATAACATGCTGAAAATGCAGAGGGGCCGGTGAGCACTTGCCGAGATAAATGGGAAGGCAACAGGGAGAGAAGGTGGTGGTTGAACAGGTATGAGAGGAAAAGAACAGCAGGAGCACAAGCCTGAGGTGTAAGAGAGTAAGGGAGGCCGGGAACTGGCAAGTAATTCAATTTGCCTGGAGCCAAACTGTCCAGATTGTGAAGATTCTTTCCGGAGCCCTGTGGAGCTGCCGGCTTCATGGTGTCCCTGCGCAGCTCAACACTCTCATCAGCTCAGTCAGGCCCCTGGTCTGATTTGGAGTGAAGGGAGCAGGGGCAACAATAAGTTTCTGAGGGTAGCAGGTGGCACAATTGGGACAGAGTGTCACCGAGTGGGAGGGTGTGCTGTGAGTGGGAGGATGCATGTTCCCTGACAGTGTGCAAGGCCGTGTGGATTTAGGTTGCAGGCAGGGTATAGGACTCAGGAGGCTTGGAGGCCCAGAGTCTCCATGGTCACTTCCAGGCCCACCTTCAAGTTAATTTATGTTTCTTCCACTGAAGAAACATAAGTATGCTTCCGCTTGTAGAGTGAATAAAAACAACAGTGTAATCACAAAAGCTATGCTGGTTAAAGTCCTCTGGACTGGGTGATTTCAAGAGATTGAAAGCTATCTCACCTGCATTTGCTTACAAGTCCTACTGAGCCATACCTTAAAGAGCTCTCACATATATTCCCACTTCACCAGCTATAGGTAGAGCAGTTTCTCAGCCTTGGTACTACTGGCATTTCTTCTGTGTAGTGGTTTGTCACATGTGTTATATGATGTTTAGCAACATCTCTGACCCCTACCCACTAGATGCCAATAGCACCCACCCTTCAGTTATGAAAACCAGAAATGTCTTTAGACATTGTCAAGTGGCTTTCGGGGTGCAAAATTTCCCCTGCTTGAGAACCACTGTGCTAAAGTGATTTTTCTAAAATGAAAATCTCATTATGTCACTTCTCTATTTAATGAAAAAATATATATACAATATGCACACACGCATGAAATACACCAAAATAATTAGTGTTTGTCCGGGTCAGTGGGTGGGGGGTGATTTCATCTGTTTTATATATATATATATATATAAAGGAATGCATATACATATATAATATATATAATAAGGAGAAAAAGTGATTAAGGGCTCCCTGCTGTCTACAGGATCAAGTCCAAGCTCCTTAGCATTGCATGTATAAGGTTCCTATGTTCTGGCCTTTGCCAGCTGATCCCACCCCACCTCTTATCAGTCTCACCTTATACTTGGTCACTGAACCTCAATGACCTAGATGAGTTCTTACTTTTTTCCAGTCTCTGCATCTTTGCTGTATCATTCTTTCTGCCCAGCGCAACCTCCTAACTCTTAATTGCCTAGCTCAGTCCTATGTGTCCTTCAGAAATTGGCTCTCTTTTTCCAGGAATGCTTCTGTATCCTCCAGTCTGAATTAACTGCTTCTCCTATAATGTTCTCATGGCAGGAATACCATGCATCCACCACAGCACTCACCATATGATACCATAATCATCAGTGTACTCGGCTGTCATCCAGGCTGTCACTCAGAGGTCACCCCTGTGTGTTTTCTAAAGAGCATCCCTTCCTCAAGATCCTTACTGTCATTTGCCAGGAAACTGCCATAATGAATATACGAATAAATCCATGATGATTGTGATGTGATCAGCACTTCCTAGAGTTCTGCCCAACCATACGCAGTCATCTGGTGTTCCCTACTAGATTCTAAAGTCCTCCAGGTGGGGACTTTGCCTTATTTTCACGATTTTACCTCCAGCACTAAACACAGTATCCGATCCAGAGTAGGACTTTGATAAACAAATGAAAGAGAAGCTATCACCTCAGCTATTAGTACCATGCCAGGAATTCTGATGGCCCTTGCCATAATGAGGGTAGAAAGCTCTGTAACCATGGCTCCTAAACCTGGATGAGCATCCAAATATCCTAGGGAATTAAAAATAAATAAAGTGTTCCACTTCAGACCTGAATCAGAATCTCAAGGCTAGGGCCTGGTTATCTGTCATTATTTTAAAATGCTGATGAAATTCTAATAATGATCAACCAGATCATCTGGGAACCACTCCCTTTGTCATGCTTCTCCCTCCTGTCACCACAATCCTACTGTTTATCTGTGGCCACCACACCTGGGATCACTGAAGGAGAATTTCCAGAGAAGGATTTTGCTTACTCTGATCTCTCCTTTGATCTAGGTGTCTTACATGCCTGTGTCCTCCAACTGAAGCCTAGTCACTTAGCAGGAAAAAGGAAGGCAGCATAGTAGGACATTTGGAAAGAGAGAAAAAGGAAGAGTGAGAGAGACAGATAGACAGAGAGAAAACAGAATCCAGGGAAAACAATAATCTGCCTTTTAAACTTTCCAAAATAGCATTTGATCTTTTGCTTATGTAAACTGGAGTGCCTAGGCTGTGTACATCCTATGATAGATCAGGTAAATTTGGGCACCCACCAAAAACTCTGCATCCTCAGGTAAAAAATCATCTGAAAGGAACAGGGTAGTGGGCAGGCATACCCTCACTCCAGGAGAGCAGTTGTCACGCTATAATCACAGCTGTGTGGTGAGTGCTTACTGTATGCTATACACTGTGATGGTCCTCAAAGGAAAGAAGCCAACTTAAATTTAACTGTACATGTTACTCATGAGTCTTATGAACTAGTTCTCTTGTACTTCCACTTTGCCCTAGTCCTTGGGACTACAACAAAGGAAAGTGTATAGGGGAAAACAATCAACATCTCTAAAATCACCATCATGAACTGGTGGCACATGGCTTCATAGCTTTAAGAATGTGTGTAGACATGAAGGGGCCCCTTTGCAGGGACGACTTCATTGTGGAGTGTGTTGGTGCATGGAACAGAGGGTGGCACATCACCTATTCACAGTGAGGCGTACATCAATGGAATAACTCGGGGTCTGGAATAAGAAAAAGTAACTGCAGATATTGCTGGGCAGCCAGGAAGGCTGCATTTACAAGCTCATGATATACACTATTAGGTACTTGCTGAACTATGTGGAGGTGATGGAGTTACTGAAATTCTGTGGCAGGGACTGAGCTCCATATCTCAGGCAATAAATACCCCAAAACAAGACACAAGGAAACATAACTTACAGGGAAATATTAGGAGAAAGATACACAATCCAGTCAGCCCTCAGTGTCCACAGGTTCTGCGGATTCAACTAACCACAGATGGAACCCTGGTTGGCTGAATTTGTGGCTATGGAGGGCTAACTGTACATTTTGTATAAGATACTTGAGCACCTGTGGGTTTTGGTATCCGCAGGAGGTTCCCAGAACCAATCCCCCGCAGATACCAAGGTACAATTGTATATGTATGTTTTCTTGAATTTTTGGCTAGCAATAAATTAATTAAAACATTAATGGAAAATTTTTTTTGTTCCTGGGTTGTGGTAGAGTCATAGAGAGTACAGTTCAATCATTTACAAATAGGATTAAAATAATAAGGGGATAATTTGGGAAGTACATAAATTTGGGAGGAGAAACTTCAGTAGTCATATTTGAATCAGAAATAGCAAAACTTTTTGCCTTTTCATTAATTAATAAAGTCACTATGTTCCCATGGCTTTCTAGGGGTTGGCTTTCTCTCTGTGATTTGCAGAAGATCCTCTTAAACTGCTTTGCTGACTTGTTCTCCAGAAGACAGTGTGTGACAAAGTCGAGTCTTGATGGCTTCAGCAAGTAGAAACCTGCCTCGCACAGGATGACTGTGCTCCCCTCTGGGGCCCTCTGGGGCTCTTTGTCAGTTCCTCCCACTGCGCTTATAGGCAAGGAGGAGCTCCTGAACCAGAGTCTGTATGCTGAAGCTTGATTCTGTATTTTGAAAAAAATCAGAACTGCCTAAGGAAAAAAGCTCTACTTAAGAATAAAGGGCCCATCCGAATGTATGACACACAATTTATAGTCCTACCATAGTACTATGCTCCCTTAAAAACACCCTTCCCCCAGCACACACATACACATTCAGGATTTAGATCCAGATATTTAGGTCACATTCATATTTAAAAATAAAAAGGGCATATTTTCATGTTTTATCTTCTGAAACCTATTAGGAGCATAAAACAGTGCCTTCATTACATTCTGCACCAGCACAATTATTCCCACTTACGGTTTGAACATAAAATGTATTTAAAGATGGCAAATTCTGAAAACTGTAACACACACACATGCTTAAAGGATAAAATTTGTTTCATTTTTGTATCCTGTGTTTGGCTAAAAGACAGCTACAAGTCATTGTGATATTTAAGAAGAACAATCGCTAAACAGAATTTTGCAAGAGTTTCATTTTTTTCAATTTGGTCTATAACTAAAATACATGATACCCAAAATGAAGATTATAGAACTTTCATCTTCTTTGATCCACTTTGGCAGCAACTTACAATATGAGCTTGGAAATAACTTGTCAATAGAGTTAACAGTTTCCTCAACTTTTCCTAGTTTACTAATGTTAGATTATTCAGCTACAATAAAACTCTGCCTTGAAGAAAATTACCTAAAACACAAATTACATCATAAGTCTCAGCCACACTACACATTAGGAATATTTCTTTTCTCCTTAAAAATAATATTTCCTATAAAGGAAATACTCCTCAATTTTTAATTCCCAAATGAGAGAATTACTAGAGTTTAAAACATTTTTTACAAAGAAAAGCAACTCACTATTTGAAGAGTACTTCCTCGTAAGTGACTCTGGTGGAAACGATCACATAAATCTACATTTTGTTCAGCTCTTCACTATTTCATCAAAGACAAAAACAGCCTCAAGTGAAAGCTGGAAGCAAAACCCTTCCATTCCCCCAAGAGCTCCTCTACGAGTCAGGAGCCTCATTGCATGCTTCACCAAGCTGCTTGCTGCCTGTTGTTTTTCAGCAAGAGTGACCTCCAACACCTTTTATTTAGAGCTGCAATGCACTCTTAAAGGCATACATGGAACACATCATGTGCCAAGCCAACACCTTAAGAGGGTGGGAAGCTTTTCAACCAGGAAGACATGCTGAAAATATTTAGCAGTCAGCAAATTGCATGTAAGCAAAGCCTTGCTTGTTTTTCACAAAACAATCCAACAACGTAATGAGTCAAGATGAACTGATTTACACAGTTCTCAACTGGGAACCATCTGGAACAATACCTCCACTGCTCTCAGAGCTTCCCCTCCTTCACCTTAAGTTTAAATTCCAAGCAACTACAGAGGAATGGCTGTCCTCAATATTTTTAATGATGGTAATATATTTTTTCTCTATTTCATAATTCAGTTTTTCTCTACTCTTTGCTCATCTCATTTATGCTCATTTACTCTTTAAACTGCAATTCTCCTGACACACATACTCCCCAAGTAAGGAGTAGTTTCAATTTAAATGTAACTACTTGACCAGGGCAAAGACCAGGCTCTTGGAGCAGTGGAGAAACTGCCAATAATTATTTCTCAACATTTAATCCATCATTCACTATGTCCACCTCCTGAGACCTGTGCAGTTGGTTAGAAGTTGGATTTCAGATGAGCCCAAAGTTTCATAAGAACTTTGTCCCTTTGAGGGCTCAGCCCTGTTTCCTTTGTTACTATCTGAAATTAAATTCTAAGAACATTAAACATTCTGAACACAAAACAGGCTGGTGGGCTCTGGTATCAGATAACTAATGAGCTGTCACAGGAGCTGAGTTTAACTCACCCTTTCTCTCCCAGTGGTTGAAGCTTTAAAGTCTCCTTTCTGGATTTTCTGAATGAGAATAGAGAAGCAAATGATGATCTGAAGCTCAGCTGACAAGGAACGGATGTTGGGTTTCTTTGATTAGGTATATTTTTAGATCTTGATGTTTGTAATTCCATAGGATCTAAAAGAAAATTGTAAAAATTTTGCATGATTAATATTTCCAGGTAAATACTCTTGGAGAACTAACACCCCCACCCATGCAGTCTAGGAACACAGGCATCCCCACATGAAGACCTCGGGACTAGGTGGGGCCCTGTGCCTCTTGGTTCTGCTGAGCGGAGGAGCCTCACTAAGAGTGGGGCATCTTTCAGTAGGTGCTGGGGCCTGCAGCTCCGCAGGACATCCTTCCTCTCATACCAGCTGGGACACTTTCTCAATGCGCTTTCCCCATGGCAATCCAAGGCCAAAGGTAGTGTGTTAGGGACCTCATCCGGTTCTTGTGCTGGTCTTAACTACCCCATCCTTCAGAAATTTTTATTTTGGTGCTTTAAAAACATAGTGATAGGGCCTCCCTGGTGGCACAGTGGTTGAGAGTCTGCCTGCCGATGCAGGGGACACGGGTTCGTGCCCCGGTCTGGGAGGATCCCACATGCCGCGGAGCGGCTGGGCCCGTGAGCCATGGCCGCTGAGCCTGCGCGTCCGGAGCCTGTGCTCCGCAACGGGAGAGGCCACAACAGTGAGAGGCCCGTGAACCGCAAAAATAAATAAATAAATAAATAAAAATTTAAAAAAATTAAAAAAAAAAAAACACAGTGATAGACTACGTGACTTTTCATATCAAAGAAAGTAAAGGAAAAGGAAATTAAGCCCTTTAGAGTGCTCCTTATTCCCATTAAAATCTCTGTGCATGTGTATTTGCTACATATACGGTTTATATGTGGGTATGCATGTAATATAAATATGTATAATATATATGTATAGATAATATGATATTATATATGAGTATTAAAAATTCTAAGCCATGATCAACATATACCAGTTCCATCATACTGTAATACTTTTGGACATGCTGAGTTTTTAAATGAGGAATTCAAGGTAAGGGGAAATTCATCATGGTATATATGGGGTTAATCTAAAAATCTGAATTGTGAACTTTTTAGATAAATTTCTTTTTTATGGGAGTTGCAAAATATTTCCAATATATGTTTAGATATATTGTTACATATTTCTCAATGTTACTAATGTTAGTAACATATAACAAAAGCAGTCAATGTGACTCTATACTTTACACTGTTTTACTACTTAAAATTTCTAAATGCACTTTGTTATTCTCAAACAGTCCTGAGAAAGCAGTTTTTATTATCCTCATTTACAGACTAAAAAATAAGTGATTGCTGAAGGTGAGAGACATGCTGGTAGTCACAAAGTTAGAATGTCCAAGGAAGGCATTTGTTTGAGCTCATTTTGGGGGTTTAAGTTACCAAAGTACCAGAAGGGTGGCAGTTTCTCTACCACCTTCCCCCTCCTAACCCCCCTCCTGTCCTGTTCTCCTTTCCCTCCCTTCCTCTGTCTCCCCCTCCTTGTGCATCATCATCCCATTTATTTACATGCTTACTGTGTTAGAGTTCAGTACTTTATATGTATTATTTTATTTAATTCTCACAACCACCCTGTGAAGTAGGTATTATCATACCCATTTAAAGATGAGAGAATTGAGGCTTATAGAGAATAAGAATAAGTAATTTGAACAGAGTCACATGAATTCTGATAGAATAGAGAATACAGAGGCAGACAGAGTGGAGATTTGAATCCAGGCCCTTTTTGATACTGATGCCTGTGTTCTTAACCATTGTGCTATCTTGCCTGACTCTAAACATACCCTCAAGACAGTACAGTCCATTTTCAGTTCACTCTTTTTATTGTGAATTTTGCCCCTTATGATTTAAAAATAATCCTGAACATGATTGGTTAAATTGGAGATCCCACTGAGCCTTTATCTACAATGAGGTGTCCTAAGATCTCACCATTTTCTGCCATCCCCTTTCTCAGTCTGTATGTAACTGGTTGTTTTAACATTTGGCTAACATCTGTTTCATTGCAAAACTTTTTCCTTTGAACTTCTTCAAACCATTCACCAGTTACTCCTTGAAGCCATCTGATATCCCTCTTTGTCTTCTGGAGTTTGCTGAAATAAAACAAAAATATCAATGCATGCTTTAAATTTCTTTGCATGAAGTGCAAACTCGTGGTGGGTCAAACTTTACCTAGTGGAGGCGTTGCATAAACTATAAGTCCAGGGGAAAAATTGGCTCTAGTCAGAGTTTCCTCTTCACCACCATGGATGTATTTTGGCTGTAATCATATAAATTCGATGACAATCTAAAAGTGTCTGCTAGTAGTTGAAATAATCAAGTTGCTGAGGACAATGTGGGTTGAGCATTGTGCAAACCTGACCTAATAATGCAACTGAATGATAGATATTTTAATGACATGGGGAAACTAGAATATTCCAGTTCTGATTACGCATTCATTCATTCGGTAATGATTAGATGTTTATTGAGCAATGTAGGCAATGGGGATTCAATGGTGAATATAACAGATAGTGTCCTTACTTGCCCATTCAGTGGTCAAAGAGAAAAGCTTACATGCAGAAAAGAAATTGTTGAATGTAATGGTCTTAGATAATGGAATTCTTTAAACACACAGACACAAAAGCCCATGAATGAGGACATGGCTAATGCTCAGTAGTAAGGGCAGTGCGATTTGAGATGGATAGGAAAGGTCATCCAAAGCACAGATGTGTCTGATGCACACTTCCAGAGTGCCAGAACTGAAATTCTGCCATTATTTATTTTTCCTTCTCCCCTGCCCTTACCTGCTTAGTCTTCTTTCAAATAAAAATGCTGCTCTAAGTCCTTAGTTAAATCATGAGTTGTGATTTTTTTTTTTTTTAAAGCAGATCATTTGCTTCATTTCAGGAGGACCCTAGAACTGTTTGGAAATGAGAGAATATTCAATCCAGAGGGAGACTGCCCTGGACTGAGGCAAATAAAGCAGAAAGGGGAGTCTGAAGAACATAATGACAAATTTCATCAAGTGGCCAGTTTGACAAACCTCTGATGAAAAAGCCAGGCTTGTTGTTGGGCCCCAAGCTCGAGAAGTTCTGCTGTTATTTATTTATTTATTTTGCGGTACGCAGGCCTCTCACTGTTGTGGTCTCTCCCGTTGCGGAGCACAGGCTCCGGACATGCAGGCTCAGCGGCCATGGCTCACGGGCCCAGCCGCTCCACGGCATGTGGGATCTTCCCGGACCGGGGCACGAACCCGTGTCCCCTGCATCGGCAGGGGGACTCTTAGCCATTGCGCCACCAGGGAAGCCCCAGTTCTGCTGTTTTGGAAAGAAGTTCATGTGACTCCGCAGTTGCCTTTTATCCAGGGTCCTCTGTGAAGCACAAGTGTTAGAGAGTTTGTATTCCTAAGAAAGTGGTGAGCAAGACAGCTGCAGAATGGCTAATTTGGGGTTAAAGGCAATGAACTGTGATGGTTGCAAGTCAGGCTCCTGCTTGGGGCTATGATACTGTCATTTTATAAAATAATCAAGAGGGAAGCCAGAGGCCATCCTGCCCAGACTTGCATTTTGAAAAGCATTACGCAACAGTCATCATGTCTAATCCGCATAATTTGCATTGGTGCCTCCCATTTTGCCATTGCCATCCCTCTGACACCTGGTCACTCCTGTCTCTATTGCTACTATTCTTACTAACAGACTAAGAGACCACAAGTACCAGCTTCTAACCAGTACTGGCTGCCTCCAACTTGTTACTACCTCATTTATTAATGTCATATATATATATATATACACACATATACATACATACATATATATATATATATATATATATATTTTTTTTTTTTTTTTTGGCCACACCTCACAGTTTGCAGGATCTTAGTTTCCCAACCAGGGATCGAACCCGGGCCCCAGGCAGTGAAAGTGCTGAGCCCTAACCACTGGATGTCCAGGAAATTCCCTAATGTCCCACATTTGTACATGACCTCTAGTTCCTCAAAAACCCTTCCAAATTATCAGACCCCAACATTCAGCAGCATCCCTGCCCCCTTCTCAACACATCCTTCTCATTTCAGAGGACAGTCAAGCTACCCGACTTAGGAACTCTCTAATAAACGTAACTTTATTATTTTTTTCTAAAGCCTCCATATAACATTGAGTCTCTTTTAAAATAATCACACTTCATTTAATTTCATCTCAAGCACTCATTCCACACTTGCACTCAAATCCATCACTGACTGTTTCTTGTTAACATTTGGCCAATGAAGTCAGAAATCTGTACCTCTATGTGAATACTCAGACAGTGTGAATTCTACTCCAGGACATGTATCTTAAAGAAATACCCTCCCACTCCCCACCCCCCGCAAAGTACATTAATTTAACTGAACATTATGCAGTTGCTAAAAATAATTACTCAGGCAATGTAGCATGTGACATAACATGAAGCAGAAAAAACAAAGTACAACATTTTATCTGTGCTTATATCTATGTGAAAATGATGCACCCATTTAGACACACTAGGGAAAAAAATCAAACACCCGGTCTCTTAGAATACAGTAATTACAGGTATCAATTCCACTTTTAATTTTTGTAAAATTATGTTTATTCGATAAGTACAATATATGTTTCTTTTTAATGTGAGTTTTTATTTATATTATCATTTTACATTATAATGTTTCTTGTAGATAGAGAAAAATATCAGTCATATTTTCACAATCCTAATGCAATCGGTATTGCCCTTTTGATGTGATCTTTTCCTCTGCACGTTTCACATGGTTGTAATAAAATGTATTAAATATATATTTGTGGAAAGCCTCCTGCAGAGAAGATGCAGGGATACAATGGCAAGCAGAGCTGATATAGCTACTATCCTAGAGAGCTTACCGCCTAATGAGAGAGACAGATATGAGTCCAATAATTATACAAATATAAGATAACAAAGAGTGGTAAGTATGATTTCTTCATTCAACACATGTTTGAACTCTGGGCAAAGCGCGGTGAACAAGTCAAGTCCTTGCCCTCATGGAATTTACATTCTGTTGGGGTAGGAGTGGGGACAAACAATAAAAAATTAAACAGGTGTTATGAGAGCATATAACAAGGGGCCCTGCTTATATGAGGCAGAAGCAAATATTTCCCTAAGAAGATGACATATGGCCTGAAGGATGTATCTCAAATTTATTGAGGTAAAATTGACATTATTATTTAATTTTAAAAACTTTATTTTACAACATTAGTTTCAGGGGTACAACATAATGATTCAATATTTGTATATACTGTGAAATGATCACCACAACAGATGTCTAGTTAACATCTGTCACCACATATAGCTACAAACTTTTTTCTTGTAATGAGGACTTTTAAGATCTCTACTCTCTTAGCAACTTTGAAATATTCAATACAGTGTTATTAACTACTGTCACTATATATAAAACCATATAGTGGTTATATGTAGATACATGAAAGGGCAAGATTTTGAAGAAATCCAGTGGCTTTTAAAGCAGAAGTATTCCAAGGTTGTCAGGGAAGTGGGTGAACATGTACAGCCAAGAGTGAGAAGATTCAAGGGTAAGGTAGTAAAAACTGGCATTGTGTTTACGTGTTACTAAATAAGTAAACATAAATAGTTCTGGCCCTTGAAGTAAGGATAACCCAGGAAGGGAAACTATGAATGACATAAAAGTCTACTCTAGGTATTACTCTAGGCATCAGTAATTTACCACCTTAAGCTTTATATTCCCATAAGCCCTGTGCACTATAAAATACAGTCTGTACACTTGCAATGGTTGACTGAGCTTCTTGTACTAAAAGGAGCACACCAACTGTAAAACCAGTGGTTTAGACTCATTTATTTACTTAAAAAATAAAACATCAAATTAGCTCAACATTAGCAAAAAAGAAAAAAAAAACCTGAACACAAAGCAGGGGTATCTTGATGTATGAAACTTAAAAAGACAATATTTTAAGTTTCAGCTAGCCTTAGTCTGAGAGAGGTAACAGTTGCTTGCAAATGGAGTTGAACCAAGTTCATGGCCAGCCTGTACAGGGCTCTTCCTCATCTATTTTGGTTTGTTATATATTCAGCCAGTCATTTAGAGCACACGGTCCACTTTATACCCAAGAGAATAACCTCAAGGTTACAAAGGACATACAACATACATATAGATAAATCACCAGTACACAGATTATTTGCTTCATTAGTGCAGCTTGACTCAACATATCACAAGGGACTGCTGTCTATACATGTAATTTGTTCTACCCCCTAGGCTGATTAACTTGACTAAACTAAATCAGGTCTTTTCTTGCTGGGCCGTAGTCCCAGCCCTCTGCTCCAAGTCAAAATGCTCTTTCTTCATTCACAGGAATCTTAGTCTGCTGTGTGCTGTCTTTTTCCATTCTAGCACCTGCTGAATGAGTCTGTCCTCTGAGGTTCCTCCTTCTATGTTAAATTTCTTTTCCTTTGTTTTCCATCCTTGAGTAATGAACCCATCTCCCCATCTTCCTTGTACTCCCCCACTGTGCCCTTGCCGACCTTTGCTACTCACTTTTCTTTGTCCACCTTTTTCTGAGCAGGTCTCTGTCCTCATCTCTATTTTGATGACTAATTATGTACTAACCATTGAGAATGTGCTCAGTAAATGATACACAGTTGTCTCTTTATCTTCCAGTCTTTTGCCCCACTTGTCTGCTCCCTGAGAACCAAACTCTGGCCTGTTCTTGAGCTGCCATCAAATAGTAGAAAGAGCACTGAATGAGGGTCAGGTTCTAGCTGGTGATCTTGGCCAAATATTTAACTCTCTTGCCTTTGTCACCTGTGAAAGAGACTTAAAGGCACGGTAGGTTGTTTACAAAGCAGGCGTCCATGGTTCCTTTCATGGCAGAAGGTATACTCCTTCGTGGAGTGACTTTGTCCCTCCTCTGCCCCCTTGAATCTGGGCTGGCCTTGTGCTTGCTTAGACCAATTGAAAATGATAAAGTGAAATTGTGAGGCTTCTGAGCCTAGGCCTCAAGAAGCCTTGCAGCTTCTGCCCTCTCCCTCTTGGAATCTTGATTCTCTGGTCTGAAGAAGCGGGGGCTAGCCTCCTGGAGGATGTGTTCATGTGCAGAGGAGGACCCAG